AAAAAGGTTTTCTCTAAATTTATTCAAAGATTTTTTGGAACAGAAGACTTAAGCAACGTACTAGATTTGGCAAAGAACTTAACAACTACATAAAGTTATGGTATGGTGTATACATAAAAATATTTGTATTTTTAATTAATATTGAAGCAACTTCACTATATTAACAGAATGTGGCAATAAGTTTTTGAATTCAAAATTTTCACAGATTGGTAATTATTCGATGACCTTTCATTGTATGTTTGGTATTCATCTTGTAACGATTCGTAATTTTAGACTGGCTCACTCTTTCAAATCACTCGATTAATATGGATTTTGAAACTTATCTTGCATCTTAAGTCAATATATTCCTCAATGACTGTATCTGAATGTTATTTTGCTATCGAATAACTGTTTATCAAAATTTTCTTAATCTAAAACAGAAACAAAAGTTTGACTTCGGCTGCACCGAAGCTATTACACCCTTTACAGGTGCATTTTTTTTATAACACAAAAGGATAAGGAAAGTTTGAATGGCAGCTATACGCTGTAGTGGTTCGATCTTAGTAATATAAATGGTAGCGATGCCTTGGCTAATGATTTGTACCAAATTTTATGAAGATATCTCATCAAATAAAAAAGTTTTCCATACAAGGACTTGAGTTTCATCGATTAGTTGCATGACAGCTATATGCTGTAGATGTCCGATCTGAACAATTTCATCGAAGATTGTAGCATGTCTTAGATAATAACCTCTATAAATATCTTGGAGATATTTGGTCAAATAAAAAAGTTTTCCATACAGGAATGTATGGAAGCTATATCCTTTAGTGGGTCGATATCAGCGGTTTCGATAAATGAGCAGCTTATTGGTTCGAAAAGTACGTGTCAGATCGACAACGTAAAAATTGAGTGACTAGTATATATAGACGTACAGAAAGACGGGCATGGCTAAATTGACTCAGTTGTCACGTCAGGGTATACAAAGAAAGATCTCAAAGATATACATTTTGATATACAAGTATATTAATAAAGCAACAAACATTGGAAAAGCCCTTATTGAACTAAATATGTCTATCTTATAAATCATCTGAGTTCCCTCAACCAAGCTAAGTGTCAAGTTAGAAGAAATACAAAATTATACAAGTCCATTGTTCACATAACGGCACTTTTAAAAATTACTAAAATAGCGATTACTAACAAGTTAAGTCATCTAGAATAACGAAATGCTATTTATAATATTAGGTATTATATATATAATATATATAATACATATGATGCCCCTGGTATGTGAAAACGTTCTTCCAAAAATAGAATTTATTCTATTTGGGAGTTCCTTTTTTCAGAAAAATATCTCTTGAATGGTTTTTGCATAATTTAATACATTTTAATTAATCGATCAAATGTAGGTATTTCTTCATCTCCGGTTAATTTTAAAAATAATAATTTTTGGAGAAATTTTAAAATATGGCACTGACCTTAAGTCCCTAGCAATTCCGGGAGTTTCTAATGTTCATACCTAAGCTTTGTTTTATGTTTCACAGAATTTGGAATATATTAAGATCTGTCAAAAGTGAAATGCATCATGATAACATAACGGACCAACAATTAACAATATATTTCTAGTGGAATCATATCGATATATCCAAAAAAGTATAATGACCAGTCGGAAATTATAACAATAACTATAGTTAAATGTATCTAATAGGGTTAATCACATAACAAATGGTCTACGCTACGTATACTATACATATACATATGCTGGCATGTACCATATGCATGCTAGACACACATATACGCACACACATACACATCAGCATGTGTTTTATGCAATTGAGAATAAGAAAGTTGGTTAGCACACATATTTTCTATATGCTGTACATACATACATATGTTGTTGTTTGAACATATGCATAGTGGTAACATGTTGTTTCTGCTAAGAACCCAACTTCCAAGTTAACGCCAAATTACGGTTGAGAAAAGAGAAAGCGATCGCGCACATGCTCACATAAGAACACGACGCAACACTATCATAAGTAATAAGCGAACAAACAAAGAAAAACAACACAACAACAAATAGTTATACTTCTTTCTTTTCTTTATTGAAAAAAAAGCTTTAGAGTCGGAAAGTAGGTCAACCACTTCTACATACAGTTACAGGTTAGATCAGTGGCTGTATGTATTAGTACATAAATAAATATATATATACAATATATATATATATGTATGTGTGTGTGTTTACATGTGTAAATGTGGAAATAATTTGAAAATACAACAATTGAAATTATTTTATGCACGGCATTCGAGCAAGTTATATATAAATGAGAACAAAATAAAACACTTCTCATTAGAGCACAACAATAACAATAACTGCAACTGAGCTTCTAAAAAGTTGGTAGTACTCAATTCGAAATCTAGTTTCAGTTTTAATAGACGAAATGTCATACTTTTATTTAATGTAAGAGCTTGGAATAATTCCTAAGCAGTCTATGGAAAATACCGCAATATAATTATTATTCGTTTTTAATCTCATGAAATGTAACAGAATTAAAGTTTACAATTAGAGATTCAATATTTTTCACGATTTCTTGAATAAAAATAGGCTATTTTAGAGAGTAAAATTTAATAAGATTGAGTTTAAGGCTTTTATACCTATTTAATTTGAATAAATAAAGATTATATAGAGAAATTACAACAAGTCCAATCTCTTTGAATTTCGCTAGCAGCTTTAGCTTTGGTTTTTGTTTACATTTGAAATCGATTTTTTTCACATATTTGTGCACTTTTCTAGATTAATCTATTTTTTGACATTTTAATATTTATCAACATTTTAAAGTGATCATTGAAATCGGCCCAATCGTTCCTGAAAATATGCACTGTTTTGTTCGTTAGTGTTGCCATTATGAAGGTAAATTCAGAATGCCACTCTAAGAGAAACCCTCGTTCCTATTTGCGAGGTAGTCGAATTTCAAAGTTTCTCCTGAAGCAATTTTTTCACCAGTAAAATCATTCGACATAGACAGGATCAGTTAGCAATCATTTGGTGTCAGAGCCGGGCTATATGGTGAATGCATAAGAACCACGCAAGCAAGCTGCCGTAGCTGCTGGCGTGCCACTATCCAAGTGTCTAGCCTGGCGTTGTCCAGGTGAAAGACATTTTCAGTCCTATTAGACAAAGCTGACAGTTTTTGGGCGATTTCTTCCTTCATACGGTCCAATTCTTGACAGTATAGATCTGAATCAAGAGCTTGTGCGTAGGGGATCATCAAACACATAGCGAACCGTAATTCCTGTCAGACTACTAAAGCCACCTTTTGAAAAAATGGATTTATTTTTAATATACCTTATACATAAATATATATATTCGAGAACCAAACGTTTGTGGACTTGTTCAGTGCAGTACAGTGGCTCTTCTTTTCTCGTACAGTTCTAATTAGTAGCTTGCGTTTAGATTCATTCCATAAAGCACTTTTTTGATTCTGGTGTTACAAAAGGGGACTAGCGAGAGGAAGAGAGAAAATCACAATTTTTTATAATTTATTTTATTATTTTTTTAAGGTTAGGGCTACAAGAAATATTTTCAAAAACTACTAACCTCTTTCAGATATATACAAGCATAGCTGTGGGCCAATAAAAAAACATATGGTATGTATGTCAGCACAGTGTGCATTAGTGGGTGCAGTGGAATTAAACTCCACAATCGAACTGCTGCACACTATAATGGAATAGAGTTGGGCATGCGCATAGTACAACAACCGCTGGAATAATGACTGGTATTTGGACAAATATTTTTTTAAATTCTGGTTTATAAAGAGAAATTGTTCAATATATTTAGATTATTTTTTTTTGGTGTTATTGCAAAATTGTATAATATTATTACATCTTTTAAATTTTTCATCTCATATTTACGGACATATTTATTTAAGGGAATTTTTTAATTTATGCATATGAATATGTACATATATATAATATTTCCAGACGAACCCACACCTTCATCTACATATTTACTTATATTATTCCCACTTATGGACTCAGATTTAAAGTTATTTAATTTATGAGGTCAGAGCGGTGATCATCAGCGCGCTTAAGTAATATTATGTGTACGATTACATTAAGCGAAACTTTCACTTTGAAGGATCATCCAAAGCACATGAGAAAAGAACCTACTTTTGTTCAAACAGCAACGCACAAACATATGTATATCCAGTTATTAGCGCATGAGCCGAAAAGCCGAAGAGCGCCAACGATCATTTATTGAGCGTAAGCCAGCTTAAACGGGACTTATTTAATATGCCAGTTTCGAAGCGCGGTGCGCTCGTGTTCTACTTTTTACAGTGATTTCTATACTTACTTCTATATGGTGCAGTATTCTCATTCTTGTGCACTTGTGTATAATATATACATATGTATATATTTGTATGTATGGTATAGTATAATATATGTAATAAAAAAGTTTCAGCTTGGCAGCGTGTTGCGCTGGTTACCAGTTCCGTGGGATTGGCCCCATTTGCATGCAACTGAGGCACCAAGCCGCGCTGACAATTTGTTAGAGGTTGGGAAAATAGTTGTATGTATGTGTATATATAATGGATAGATCTTCACTACCGCTTCTAACTTGGTCACTGATATTTACGGTTCTATTCAAAAGCCGTACGTCTCTTCTTCTTCTTCTACTTCAATGTGTAAGCAACTTTTTTGCTGCTACCCACTCCACTTTGCTGTTAGCCATTTCTTTACCTTTGTTTTGCTTGACGAGAACAATATGTATGTATTTATGTATGTACATATAGATATTCTTTGCTCTTTGTATTGCTAAGTTTATCGTATCGTCAGACTTTCTTCGACGTAGAGCAACAGCGCACTCAACACACAAACAACACATAGTGCCCAACGTAAAGCTATAAACAACACGACAGTCATGCCCACTGGCATACAAATGTATGTATGTATGTATATGTATGCGCATACAAATACCATTACGATGGCAGTAGTCGAAGCAACACCAGCAACAGCACGAATGCCATTGCAATTCAAAACAACAAATCAGTCATAATTCTTACGGCAAGCGTTAAGGAACATATACAGTAGAGACTGAGGCCGAAAGTTTTTTAAAAAATTAATAATAGTAAAAAATTGGTTGAATTTAACTGCTTTTAAAATAAAAAATAAAAACATTAATAAATCCTAGTGAACTGTCATACTTTTGGTGTTTTTGTACACCAACAAACAATTAAATATAGTTTTGGATTTCTAGCAAAGAAGTGTGTTTTTAGTGGCTTGATTGAGAGTCTAGTAAACATTATTTAATTAAACATTAAAGCAAAAACAAAAAATATTACTACTGACAATACTATATTGCGAAAGCTAACTGTAAACTACACGTGTCCGAAGTGATTGTATCGTTGTGGTGAATTTCATAATAAGTCCGCGCGACATTAACATTTTTAAAAGTACCATTAATAGAATATTACGTTGAAATATGCAAACATACATGCAAACATAGAGACAGACATACATTTAAATAACAAATTTATTTGGGCGAGGAAGCGGAAAGAGCAAAAACCCAAACGAAAAGCGCATTTTATTTAATAAAGAAAGGAAACAAAGAAAAAAAAACATTTTGTATTAGAAAAAAACAAAATACAACAACAATAAAAACGCCGCAAAGGCGTCAAAGTACAAGAGCAACAACGCGCAATTAGAACTTTCGAAAATTACCGTCCCCATTCGGGCTAAAAGCAGACGATTGGCAAAATTGCGCCATTCATTCATTCGGCTTTCAGCTAACGACACCTACGTCAGCTGTGCGTGGCGGCATAAATTCGCCTAACAACCTACAAACTTTAAGCGTGTATGCATGTGTACATTGTGAAATGCGCATAGCCGAGCAAAACAAATAACAAGAAATTGTGTCACTATAATAATTAAAGTGTGTAGTCTTTTATATGCGCACGGCAAACTAAAAAAAAAAACAATAATAATAATAAGCGAAAAGCGCTCAAAACAACAATAATTACTATTTGTGATTAGCCGATTGGAAGAGAGTTGATAACGCACTCTTAAATTATTGTAACATTTTGGGTAGCTAGTGAGAGAGCACGCATTATCATTGCAAACAAAAAGCGGAAATATTAATAGAATTGTGGAAAAACACTAATATATTTCTAGAAAAACTATAATAAAAATAATATAACAGCATTGAAATCGTGTGAAATGCGCAGCAAGAGCTTTCACTTAAAAACGCTTTAAATAGAAACAGCAAATAAAGTGTGATTTTTCTCGAAAAACATTCGCGTGAGTAGAAAGCAGTCAGCAAAAGTAGTGAGCTGCGCTTAAGCGACTTCTTACATGTTGGACCAAACTATTGCAGTTAACGGTAGCGGTTCTTTCAATTTGGGTAAGTTCTAAAAATGCATTTGATTTAAAATAATTTTTAAATTTATATATGTTTTTATCTGTATATACATATGTATGGTATGTATGTGGAACTCATATCAATGGTGCATAATTTCACTATACATACACATGTAAATAAATTGAAAAATACATATATTTTTACATATGAAGAAACTTTATAACAAAAACAATTATGTTATGTTATTTGAAAATTTAAATAAAAGAAGAAATATTTTATAAAATATATTTAAATAATGCCTCATAAAGCTTAAGAAAACAATTTTATAAAAACAAAAATATTCAAAATTGCTCAATAAAAACAATATATATATATATATAAATAAAAAAAATATATTTAAAGATTGTCTTATAGGCTTTAAAAAATATTTTTTAATACAAAAAACACATATATATAATATTTTTGGAGATTGCCTTATAAAGCTTTAAAAAAAATGTGTAAATAAAAAAAAAATATTTTCCAAATATGTTTGAAAATTGTTTTATAAAGCTGTTATTTACATATTCTATATTTATCTATATATAATACATATTTACATATACACACATCTACAGTGTATATCATTATCGTTGCAATATGTAGTTTTATTGATATTGCAACGATAATGAGTAAATTCCTATATGCATAAATAATCTTATGTATAATTGTTTAAAGCGCATAAATGACTCATGCGTTTTTCACAGGAAAGAATTTCACTTTCGTTCCTTGCAAAACATTTCATACATACCGACATATATATACTCGTACTATTTCTTGTGTTTGCTATGGCAATCGAGCGCTTCTATAGTATGCATGCCTCTCCTACCCATTAGCAGCTACAACAAATCAATTTACTACACACACACATACACACATACATACAGATGATATGAGAGCTAGGGGCCACGTGCTAGAGCGTTTGTTTTTCTAGCATTTTGATAAGAGCGAATTGCTCATGAAATCAATAGATGCAAAACTGTTTGTATATACATATAATATAATTGAACATATAAACATACATACATACATATGTACATATACCATACATATGTTTAAATGAATATGTGATTCTTCAGACTTTAAAACCAAAAATCAAAAATATACATTGTTTTTATATACATATATAATCGGTGTCATAATAATTTGAAATCTTACATCAGTAAATCTCATACATGTACGTATGTATTTATAAGTATTGTATGAATGCATCATCGAGAGGGGGTGTGGGCAGTCGCACTGCAAATATAAATCGTAATTTACGCAATCTCTATCATAAAATTGAGATAATATTTAAGTAATCGACCGACAAGCGACGAACGCCCAAAACACAAAAAAAAAAAACAAGTAACACATACACACATATTATTCATATTCATATAGAATCATATACTAAGCGCATATGCATAACGCAATCAAAATGTTTCGCACATACAAACATACATATGGGCAGACATTGCATAGAATATAAACAACGCATCTATACTTGCACCAGCCGAGCAAGCGACCCAACCTCGCTAAAGTGAGTTCATCCAGTCAGCCAAACATGCCTGCATCTATATACATACATATAGATGTGTGTATATATGTACATAAATTCATAATACACTTTACATAGCAAGTATATAAATTGGCGCAGACCCATGCACACAAAAAAATTAAATATATATATATATGTGTGTGTGTAAGCTCACTCTTACACAAAGCCAGGAATATTACGAATTTACCAACACATTCGCATGGCGCAAAACCCCTGCCGCCAATCGAGTGCTGTAGTGCAGTTTAAAGTTAATGCACTCTAACAGAAGTTCAAGGCTGTGCAAATCAGTCGTCGTCGTCATCGTTGCCTTCGCTGTCGTGTCGTTGTTGTTGTTTTTACTTTAGCTTTGTTTTGTTGACGTTGTCGTTTCGCTCTGCCGTCGTTGAAGTATTCTCGGGTTGTTGGTTTTGTTGTTGTTGTTGTTTTTGGTTTTTTATTCTCACATTAAATGTAATCTTTTTTTCGGCAACAGCAATGTGCAAATAAATATATGTACATATGTATGTACCGTATGTATAGAGTATAAAAACAAATATGAAAACAATTTTTTATGAATTAGTATACAGTGAGGCTTGCCTAAGTGGAATTAGCGCAAAGTGCAAAGGTATGCGTTAAACTTTTTGATGTGCTTTATGAGATGTAAATATTAATAAAATGTCAGAAAACACACTAAAGGGCTGCAATAAGCCCTAATGTACTGCTTAAAAAATAAATGTAAATTTTATTCTTTTATGCTTTCAAAAATATCAAAGGTTTGATTTGCTTGAAAAAACCCACAATTTCCCACAAATAGAACAAACTCGAACTCTCATGCACCAAAGTTTATTTTGATAGCATAATAGAGGATTTAAATAGTTATTTACTTATATATAAGAAAAAAATATGTACTAATATATCCATACAAAATAATACGTCTTCAAATGTCATTGTTACTCAATTAATTTCGACTCGTATGCATTCACATTATATGCGCATAACTGTATCTATATACATATTATATTTTGTAATATTCGTGCCCCACGATTTTCAAGTGCAGCAGACGCAGACACAGTTGCGTGAGTTAGTGCTCTCTGCTCAATTCTTTGTTGCCAAAGAGTGTGGATGGTGGGGTCGCCACGACCATATGCGTGTATGTATCTATGTTTGATTTCATCGAATGTATAAGTGACACCGGCATTATTCGCATAAAGCCGCTGCAACAAAATGTGCAACAACAACAACAATAACTAACACTCAAACGCTTTGTGTAGCCAGACTGAGTAGTAAACAGCGCAGTGATGGAGAAAAAAATACAAGAACAGCGACAACACTGACCACACCGCATTGTCAGCGGTTAGCAAAATAAAGGCAACAAATGTATAGCAACAACAATGCAGTTGTATGCTTTTTTTTTTTTGCAATATGTATCCACACACTAAAGAGAGCGTACGTCTTTGTTATTTACATACTTACGCCTAGACACCAACAAACATTCATTCATATAAGCACAGTGGCAAGTTGCAAGAGGATCGAACTTACTGCGCACCATTACTAGGTATAAATAATGCGCTACAGGAGAGGGTGGAGTTGAACAGAGTTCCTTAAACTAGCACGAGTAGTGAGCGGGAGACGCAAGCGGCAGACAATTCATATGACGGTCTGTCGCCTGAAAAAGTCGGCACTGTGGGGGCGGAGTGAAGATAAGTGTTTGACCGATTCACTTTTCAACAGAAATTATATGTATAAAAGCACAAGCACAGGCAGGCACACTGTCATAAATATACATATATATATACGTGCATATATATACACACATACATACATAATTATATGTATCCAAGTAAGGCGCGATGTCTGCTTTTGTATATATGGGACAAGCGCAGCGCAAGGGATTGACAAGGGAATGCCCTTAGATATAATTCCAAGGCTAGAAGGGGAAAGCTTAACAACAACAAAAACAAAATATAATATAACAGCAAGAGCGCAATAAAGAAGGTCATTGCCGCCGTTAGACAGCAGAACATTTGCCAGGCGCTAAAGCACAATAGCCAAACGAAGTGCAAAAATAAATGCAATAAAAGCAGCGTAAACAACAATAGCAACAACAAGGTGAAAACCAATAAACAGATGTGTTTGCGCATAGCTATAGTCTAATATTTGTATGTGTGTGCGTGTGTTTGTGCGCGCCAATGAGTTTGTATAAATAAAAGAAGGAAAGCTTGCGCAAAGAAAGTGTGCATCGCCAGCGATTAGCAAAATGCGACTTAAGTAATATAAAAATAAAGAAATATATAAAAACATGAAAAAAATAACAACAATAAATAATCTAGAGAAAGCAGTACAAATAATATCTAAAGGCTCATGATATAATAATGAGTAAACTTGTGTATATTAGGGAGGTGCATTGTCTATGAACTATTGGTAAATATTTTTTTAGCATACTTTTCGGCTGTTAAACGTACTTGTAGTTATTATAACTTTCATAAGTTGAACTATTAGTTTCGTATACACATATATTACGAAATTAGTAAGGAAAAATATTTCTAAATTTCAAACAAGATCTTTTATAGAACTATCTGCTGAAGTGGAAATTAGCCGCATTTAACTTCTGTTTTTTTTTTCATAAAAATAGTAATAAATTTTAAATCACTCTTACCATGCAATTAAAAACTAAGTAGAATTAAGCTAACTTCGACTTGACTAACGTTGCATTTATAGTAAAAGCAAAGACTCTTCAAAACTTGCATAAAAATTATTATATTCACTTTTATTATAATTTTTGCAAAATCTTTACTTACCGAACCACCCTAAGGCTCACGCATATATGCCAAAATGCGCATGCACAGACGTATACAATATTTACACAACGAAAAGGAGTTTGTGAAGTTGTCGATTTCTCATGTTTCTCTCATAGGTTCAAGGCCAATGTAGAATGAACGATTTCACAAGCAGCAAATGCTGTCCTTTGGATTAATTTAACTAATTTATAAAGTTCATTAACGCCGAGCAGCATTCAGCACTTATATAACGTCGTATAACGTAATAAAATGTGCTGGTGCAATAATATGTGAATTTGTGTGAACAGTAATATGAATATGTACAATAAATGCAAACATATAAATATAGTGTTTGTTAAGCATTTTGCTTACAACAGCAAAATAAATTACTGCATATGCTTGATGAATTGCATATTCTTATATATATAATGCATATATAAGTATATGAATGTATCTATTTGAATATCTACAGATGTATGTATGTATATATGAATATTAAATTTGCTTACATCATCATATAATATAAATTATAAAAGCAAATTCGTATTAAGTAACGTTTATTACACATAACTGTAAATAATTATAAATAGCTGTTGCTTTGATACTTCCTTTGTGCAATATTTGAATGTCCTAGGAATGATAGAGACGAATATGTGACATAATCGCAACGCACTGTCTTACTTCCATAGTAATCAAAACCTCCTTTCTTT